AAGGGGAGTGAAGTTGGTGAGGGGTCTGGAGCACAAGACTTATGAGGAATGGCTGAGGGAACTGGGGTTGTAGTCTGGAGGAGGCTGAGGGGAGACCTTATGACTCTCCACAGCTATCTGAAAGGAGGTTGTAGTGAGGTGGGTGTTAGTCTCTTCTCCCAAGTAACATGCAATAGGACAAGAGGAAAAGGGCTCAAGTTGTGCCAAGAGAGATGTAGTTTGGACATTAGGAAGAATTTCTTCACCAAAAGTGTGGCTAAGCATTGGAACAGGCTGCCCAGAGAAGTGTTTGAGTCACCATCCCTGAAGGTATATAAAAGATGTGCAGATGTGTTGCTTAGGGACGTGGTTTAGCGGTGGACTTGGCAGTGCTAGGTTAACAGTGGACACGATGATCTTAAAGGTCTTTTCCAACCTAAATGATTCTATGATTATGTGGGCAAGAGAGTCACATAGCAAATAACAGTTCAGGGGCTCCTAGGAAGAGAAAATGCCTCAAGGAACAAGTGTACCAAGGCTTTGCATATCAGAGAAGTCTTTGTTAATTTAGACTTGTCTTCCTGAGGATTTGAAGTAGCACAGGAAGAAGCAGGTAATCTAGAAGACTAATTTCAAGGACAATCAGATGCCTGTACCTCTACTGTTCTCATAGAAAGTGTCTGGTCTCTGACACTTAATGCAGGACAGCAGCATATGTACATATGTTTATTGCTAATGTAATGACCTAAGAGAACAGTGGAATTCACAAATCTTGCAGACACCAAATAAGCACCTTACCTCCAGCTCACAGCACAGCACAGGACTGCAGTAGACTTCTCCCAGTTTCCAGATGGCGTTCATCTCTACACCGCAGTAATTCACCCTGCCAACTACAGAAAAAGTTTTCCAACATTACAAGCCCCATAATCAACATTCAGTGAAGAAAAGTACTAGGAAATTCGACATCTGCAAAATGATCCAGAACTAATTTTGAGACCACCATAGAAGGTAAGGCAACAGCGAGCAGTACAAACAGAATGGTGCAAGATTTGCAATAGAATTACCACAGAAGTTTTTCTTAATACTGACAGCAGAAGAGTATTGCCACATTAGAGTACTGTTACATTAACATTTTGGATAAGGGATCAGCACATTCAGCACGGGCAGAATCTTCCACTCACTAATCAGAAGCCCTCCTGGCTCACGTGGTATCACAGGGTGGTCATGTCTCTGAGGAATTCACTCCGTCAGGAGAGCCATAGCACAAGACAACGCTAAGACTCCTTCACACCCAAGAATTAGGTCTCTTGACCCCCAAATTCCAGGGATAGAGCACCTGTGTTCCAACACCAACCAGTATGGTCTGGCCTCTCCAGTTCCTCAGAGCTAAAGTAGGGAGGGTCCACAAGAGAGCACCCTCTCTGCTCAAGGCAAAAGGGAAAGAGAGAGAGAGGGGGGAAGAGAGAGATATTAGAGGCACAACAGGGACAGACAGCACACAGCAGGGATACCAGTCTTGTATTAAAACTGTACTTAATAGTTTAGTAGCTCATCCATTTAGATTCATTTTACTACACAGTCTCATATGCTTCTCACTGCTCATTAGGATTACCATTAAGACAGATCTGCAAGAGCAGACAGAACAGACTTCTGCAGTGCCACAGGAAAAAAAAAAATCAAAAATGAATAACACAAATCATATTCAGAGATTAGGGACAGAGAAGAGAGGTCTGACTGGCAAAAAACAAAAAGAGAGCAAGTGAGCATGAGAAAAGAGAACCATGTTTTATCTAAGAAAACAATAAAGGGCCGATGAGTTCAGAGATCATTTAAACAAAGCTTTCAACAAAGCCACCAGTTTCATTTGCTTTGTTTCAAGTTAAGTCACTGCCTTGTTTTAAGGAAAGTAATAGTCAGTTGTGCAGCTTGTAGAGGAGGAGGAGTGCAGATGCCATACGTACCCCCAGTGACAAGAAAGCATACTTTCCCCAGGAAGAAGCTGGCATCCACATGAGCTAGGGAAGCTTCGACATTCTTCAAGCTGTCAGAAAAGCACAGACAATCCAGTTGGACAGGGAGGTAAAACCAGTGCAGCATAAGGACAAAGAGAATAACTTTCAGAAGCACAACTAGAAAACCAATGATGTTAACATCTGCTGATATGCGAGCCGGCGGAGTCACGCTCTATGCTAAAAGCACGGCATCAGAACCTCTGTAATGCCCACAGCTGTTTAATAATCCATCACGTATCCTTTCTATCCAAGACTCAACAGTTAGACTTAGTTTGAACAGTGTCCTCCGTGATTTGCGGACGCTAAGCATCCGACTTCATTAACATCCAACGAGACCTCAGCACTACTTCGGCTCTTTCAAACCCACACATTTCTGCAGCACCATCTGTGCCGTAAGTATGCAGCTGGGCCTGTCATTTTTGGTAAATGAGAGCGCAGGATCATCAGTCACAAGTTAAGCAAGTAATAAAATGCTGACTACTGTGCCTTAGCCAGTCCTTACTTATGGCCTGGGGACACAAATATAATTTCTACAAAGGTGAGAGCAAAGGGATCAGTCCCCACAGACCTAACTCTTTTGCCTAGAGACATCCATAGTGCTGATCTCACTTGACCAGCAGCATCAGTGAACTGGGACACAGAAGCAGCAACTGGCTGGTTATTAGGTAGTGCATCAGCCAAAGGCGTATTGCAGAACTTAACAGGACCACCATCATTTCCATCTGATTTTACAGACAGCATCTTTGCAAAGCTCAGTTCATATCACCCCAGATCCAGGAATAAACTCTGTCCTCTCTGCTGTGGCAACTTAGTGCACAACAGGCATGTTATTGGACAGAGCAGTTTAGACCTAATCCATTGCTGGAGGCCAGAAAACCACTGTGTGTTACTGAGCTGCTCCATCACAACAAGTCTTGGGTCTGAAATCCACTATTCAGCAGCTCTGACACAGTAAAAATGCAGATTTAGCCATCAATCCAAGAAAGAATTATCAGTTGCCCTTCTCATATTTTTTCCCTTTTTTACCTGTATTTGCTCTTGATGTCAATCATAAACACAATCAGATCTATCCTGGGCCGAACGTGATCCCTCTGTGAAGGTAAGGGGAGGGATGGAGCAAGGTGACTGAAAGAGAATAAATTTGCCAGCTTAACCAAATAGCTTGGCAAGGCAGTATCCACTTTACCATAACCACATAACCATTGCAGTTCACCACATAGCAAGTTACCAGGAAGCTCACTAATTACTAAATACGAAGGCACTGAAGAGACGCTGTGATTCTTCAAGTGGTATTCTCATATCTTAAACCTACTCATAGTTGCTGACAGCCACGACAATACTTGCTAGACAAGGGCATTTATACAGGGATGCTTATTAGAGCATAACAAGACTCACAGAAACATTTTCTCCACACAGATCGGTATGGCAGTCTTTTTATTTAATTGTTAAGAAGAGTCTTTCCAACAAAGTGGACCCCAGTGCTTTACTGGTATATTTTGCTGCCAAGTTTCAGTTAAAGCGTGTCAGTGCTTTCCTGTCACATTCCAGAGATACTGCTCAGACGCTTATACAGGAGAGCCTACCTTCTCAGGTGTCCATGTCACAGAAAGGTGTGTTGTATCACAAAACCATAAACCTGAAATTTATCACTAGTACAGCTTCATAGATGACGTTATAACTCAGAAAGAGCTTCTATTACACTGTTACGTCCCTCTTTAACCCTTTTGCTGTGTCACGAGTTACTAGTTTAGTAACACCTGTTGGAAGAAGAACTACAGGGTGGGGATTTTTTGTGTCTCTTCCCACTACACACACAAAAAAAAAAGCTTCAGTAGTGCATATCTGAGCCTTCCACAGCAAAGATTATTATCAGTACCATATTTTTAGAAGATCACCCAAAAGACAGATCAGACAAACACAAATCACAGGATATCAGTCTCTCTCACAATCCACTTCCTCTCTGGAAGCCAAGAGAGAAACACTGATTTTGGTCTCCTTGGGGAATATTACTTCTAGCAATTAAATCTGGTCTTAACAGTTTTCCCCAGCAGCCACAGACCATGACACACATTCCCTCCTACTAATGATATGCAGTCCGTAGTTTTGTCTGCCAGTCTGCAGATAAAGGTGTTTCCTGTAAATAAGGAAAGCACGATTTAACAAAAACATTCTGAAACTAACACAAGATAGAAGCAAAGAGCATTTGAAAGACACATCACAACACAAACAAGCTTATAAATTTAAGATGAAATTCAGGGTGAAGCTGTGGTGAAAGGAAAAAATACCAGATTTCATTGCTGTTTTTTTTCCCTCCTAGACAAAACCACAACACCCAAAAGCCCTCCATGATATGGAATTCCACTATATGTAAACCAGCATCACTAGATGATGTCAGCAGCCTCCAGATATGCGCTGCAGAAATTTTTTTTCCTAGTGTTAACAGACACAAAACCCCCAGCCCTGTGATTCTTCTCTCACCAGCTGTATCTGGCAGGTAGACTTGCCAGACAAGATACCACTGCAGAAATTTTTTTTCCTTAGTGTTAACAGACACAAAAACCCCAGCCCTGCAATTCTCCCACCAGCTGCATCTGGCAGGTAGACTTGCCAGACAAGATACCATATTTCTTTGCAGTGTGTATAACCCTAAAGCAGCACAGTGGGGGAAAAAAACCACTGTCACGGACTGCTGCTTCCCTAGTGATACTAGTGCAGGGACTTATCTTGCTTTGTAGTACAAGCAGAAGTTTCCACGCTTTTGGGTAGTGACCCAGCTGTAGTACCAGTAGCCATCTAGTTATGGCACTCCACAGCTCAGGATCTGCACAAAAAATTGTGTAATTAACTTACTACTAGTTAGCACAAACATCCAAGATGCCACGATCAGAGCAGTACAGCTGCTCTAACCAGCTAGCAGAACATTAGCTCTTTACTACACAGCCTTACATTTGCCTTTACCGCACAGCCTCAGATTACAGCAGCAAAGTAACACAAACACCTTCTGAAGAGCTGACTAAACTCATTTGGTCTTGGCAAGAGAGCTGTCAAGGACATTATATTGTAAAAAGTTAGTTAATCAAGCTTTTAAGACAGGACTTGTCATGCAGCTAAAGTTAAAATTCCAAATGCATCTTAATAGCTTGAGGAGGAAAAGCACGTGCATGCACACAAACCAGAAAATGGCTAGGAAGAGCACCAAAAGTGACAGACATCTTTCAGGAAAACTTTTTTGGTTTCAAACAGTTGCAAGCACTGTACTTGTCCTACTTTGTCCCAGGATGTTTAATTCCTGTATACGTCTGTCTCCCAGGAGAGATAGAAAACACCCCTGCTCCTCTCAAACCCTTGCAACTTAGAAATCGAACACCTGTGCAACACCCGAAGGGCAATGGTACGTGCGTAGTGAACACGAGGAACGTGACAATTATTTCCAACCCCATTTCTAATCCGGGCCCAAACCGCTTGCCCTGCGGACAGCGGGGTTTGCCCTCCGCAGCTGCCAGCCCCACCCGCGCAGCCCTGCGCTCCGCCCTTCCCAAGAGCGACCTCCCGCTTCCCAGCGAAACGCCCCGCAGCGCCAGCGACCGCCG